GCTGTGGTTGCCTTGGACCACGGACCTTGGGACCCCTTCCCACCACCACTGCTGTGGCGGGTTGTGTGACACCCCAAAAGCTGCCACCTTCTTCCTCCCCAGCTGCCCAGTCTGGTCTGCTCTCCATTGCTGGGATGCTGGGATGGCACCTGGCTCCTCAGTGCATATCAGTGCTACCCTGAGGCCATCACCATTCCGTGGGAGGAGAAGACATCCCTTATTGTGTGCTGGTTTGGTGGGAAAGGGTGATTTAATCTGCCAAGGCTGCATGCCATACTCCACCACCTGCTGAATCAGCAGGTTGTCTCTTGGCTGACAAGAACGCACCCCTAAATAGAAAGATGTCAAACTGGCTTTTGCCACAGAGCTCCTGGAAGAGCAAGTCTCGGCTGGCCAGCTTGCAGAGGAGCTGAGCTGCTGCTGCATTGGCCCAAACCCCAGGGTTCTCAGGGAAGCAGTGGAGGGTTGGCTGTGAGGGGCTCTGAAGGCGAGCAGACAGAGTCACAAAAGGGACAGTTTCAGCACCAGTCTCTTGTCAGCACCAGCTGGTGAGGTGTTCCTGGTCTGAACCTCCTGGTCTCCCTTTCTCTCTGCCTAGCGCAGAGAAGTAGGATGGATGTTGGGGGCAGCTTGCAGCTTTCCAGCACCTGGAGGTGCCTGGTGAGCCAAGTTCTTGTATTGCTCTTTGTCACTTGCTTCCCTATCAGTCATCCTGATTGGGAAGCCAACCCAGTCACCGAAGGACACCCATCTTGGTCTCAACCCACAAGGGCTGCCACATGTTTCACCTTGCGATGCCTCCGACAAAGATTTGGGAAAGCAGTGGTCCCCTCCCATGCTAAACACCATGTCATGTCCCCAGACCCTGCCTGGGTTGTCCTCTTGGCATCTCCTCCGGGAGCCAAAGCAAGTGACATACGCAGGGGGCTAAGACAGGCTGTGAAATCCTACACAAACCAGCCCATCCTGTTCAAGCAGTTTAACAGTAAACTCCTGGCGAGTTCACCAGTCAACACTCTCCTCACTAAACTGTTTCCAGGAGGACTGGCACCTGCACCAGTGTGAGGACATGGTGACTGATGGAGAAGGAGCCCCAGGCCAGGCAGTGTAGGGCTGGCACACCCTGTTTGAGGGAGCACACCAGCTAATTCAATGGTTTCATGCAAAAGGTGACGTAGAGACATGCATTTTCATTAGCAAAATTCTTCATGTTAGGCAAGCATTTTAGCCAAAGGTCATGGCATACCCAAACCAGAAATTAGTGTACTTACTCCACCTTTTATGCACTGAAATTATATCAGTACCAGGAGTGAAAAAAAGGCAGGGTTGAAGTCTGAATGCTGCCAAGGGAGGCACTCCACCTTTTATGCACTGAAATGATATCAGTACCAGGAGTGAAAAAAAGTCAGGGTTGAAGTCTGAATGCTGCCAAGGGAGGAAGAAAATTGTGAGTGTTAGGAGAGGTCAAACCTCAGTGCCTTGGGTTTCTTTCTACCACTGGAGAATGACAGGGGTATCGCAGTTCAGACAAGGGGATCGTGCCAGGCACAGCATGAATTTCACAGTCACTATTTCCTCTTCTTCTCCTCGACTCATGTCTTCCTCTCTGTCTTCTCACCGGTTCCCAGCTTTCATTTTGGGCAAGAAAAAGGAATGAACCATGCTTTAGAGTGTTCACCCAAGGAGCCCTCAGAGGTTTCAGTATTTGTAATTTGTACACCGATGGAGAAACTGAGGAAGATATTGCTCTCACAGAATCATTCTCCCACAAAAGAAGAGCTGGGCTGGGTGAAACTGGATGAAACAGATGATGATTTGAAGACAGGCCCATCTGAAGACAAGAGCCTGAATGTAATTCCCCTTAAAATCACATCAGTTAAAAGGTAAGTGAAATCTTTGTTCGGGCAAGTTAGATGTCTTCCACAATACATGTCAAGAGATGGTAAAGATCTTCCTCTTGAGATGCAGGTAGCCTCAATAGCACCCAAAGGATATACACTCCCCTGCGTACACAGCATCTCACAAAATGCTGTGGAGATATTTTCCCAAAGCAAAAACGTTCATGTTGTCAAGCACATTGAGGATTGGAGGGGGATTGCAATCTGTAAACTGTAGATAACTTTGTTTCTCCTCTGTATTAGTGATGGATTAGGTTTTGCTCATTTCAGCAGTAAATTAATCAGCCCAGAGGATCTGTTAGTGTATAGGTTAGGAATGCTTCAATCCTCTCATTTTCCCCTCTTCCTCCTAACTAGTAACTCACAATGTGAATCTGTAGTAATCTGTTGTGAAGCCAATATATTCCCCCATGTTTTTACCTCTTCATCTAGATCCCAAGCTGCACACTGTCTTTAATAGCTGTCCATACATTTGGTGACTAGGACCCCTGTGGTAAGAAACACACCCTCGCCCTATTTTTTTAATTCTGAAGAACCAAAGAGGTAAAACCACAATACTGGCGAAAGCCCAAAATGGGCCCACGAGCACATGAGTAGAAATTGGCCATTTTCAGGTTTGGACTGGAAATCCCAACTGTCATCTGAAGAAGCAGGTCCCGCTGCAGGCTTTATAGGAGCAGAGGACAAAAAAAGCCTCCAGGCTGGGTTTTTTGGGTGGAGTTCAGTGAGTTTATAGCTGGGTTTGACATGGCACTGGTGACAGCTGGACCTGCTGGTCCTTGGCTCCTGAGCTTCTCTAGTTTGGTGCAGCAAATTCATTCTTTGCGAAAGACCCTGATTTGGGAAGCAATATAAAACTATGGTTGGGACTTTCTCCAAGTTCTCGTCATTCTGTGGATGAAATAACATGAGCCTGACTTGGTTTCACTTGAAGAGGAACCTGAGGTGCGTTGTTTGAAGGTGCAGTCATAAGTACATATGTGATTTCTATGGTTCTACGATTTGTATTCGTTAGCCTCAGCATTATGTTGCAAACCAACACCAACAGCCTTCAGCCCTGCATACCGATTTCTAGCCCTTATCAACCTTTGATTAGGCGCTCTATTGACAGATTGGCTTTGACTGATGCTCTCTGAAGTGACTTCTTCTGCTTTCACTATTCAGACACAGGTCAGGGGTTGGTATACCTTTGCAAACACCGAGCTGCCCGCTGTGAATTGAGCACAGTGTCTTGCAGAGACCCACAGTGCAGCTGCTGGCGCTGGTGGTGACAGCACCACCAGATGCGTTACAGCAATTGATGCTTTGAGACCAGCTTTCCAGCCCTACAAGCTGCTTGGCTGACGTCAGTTAGGGTTAGAGAGCAATTCTTTATCCTTTAAACTTATTTTTCTCTCTGTTAAAAGGCGAGAGATGCAGAGGTTGCAAATTAATCTCACTGAGTCTTAATCCACCCAGATTGTCAGTATTTTTATTTTCTTCGGATTGGGGGCCCTAAAACCTTCTGCTCTTTGGATCGCTGCAGGCATCTTTTACCATGTCCAGAGACATGCAGGCAGAATCATGCACAACTCTATGGGCAAACAACAATCTAACCTGCTGCCCAGCACATGTAATAAACGGATGGGACTAGCGCACTCTTAGGCTGAGCATGAGTACACTCACCACCCCCAGTCACTGATGAGTGACTCTGCTGGCTGGACAGTTATCGGTGAGGTGGTGAAATGCTGGCCTCTGTTCCTCAGAAGCCCTTGATCTCCATAAGTGGCTGCTTCTGGTTGTCCACCTCCTCAGTCATGTTTTCACAACAAGGTTTTTCTCCCGAGTCCTGGAGTTGCTGACAAGGTAGAAGTAGCTCGGTTCAGGTCACCAAGAGGGGACTCCCTGTTGACCCAAGTCATCTTCTTCTTGGTGCCAACTTCATCTATTCAAATTACTATACTCTGCCATTCCCACCCATGGCATTGGAGGTGGAGCTCTCAAACCTTTGCTTGCAACACTCAACAAGGTGAAGGGCATATGCAGAGGACTCATCCATATCTGGTCCTGGGCTACTCCTCTGCTGCAAGCCAATAGATTAATGGCTTCAGCAATTGTAGGATTTACCTCTGAATAGTCCTGTTGCTAAGGGAGAATCAAGAAAACGAGATGCTCTTCCACCATTTTTTGTGGGCTCTGGAGACATAACTCAGCACTGCAAATCTGGCAGATTTGCGCACGCTCTTGGATCTATTTCTATGTGCACATACCCACACGTATTCTCATGCCTTCCTTCTGCAGGTACTCCTCTGTGGATGCTGTGGGGCTCAGCACTGGGCAGCTCTGGTCCCTGTTAGCCATGACAGAGATGCATGGGCTGCTTTCAGACACCCAGCCTTCTCAGCTGAAACTAAGTCACAGCACTACAAATTTCTGTCCTGTTTCAAGCTGCACAATTATAGGCAAAAAAAAAGATTGTATTGTTGGTTGCTGAAAGCCATTAATGAGTTAACCCCTCTGGGGTAAACACAGCTGCTTAAATGTACTCTTCATGTCTTGATAGCTTTTTTCATTTAAACACTAAGAAGCTAAACAGGATGAGCAAGAAAAGCTTGGTACAAAACAATGCGATTGGAGAGGGGTAGCTAGGTGGATTTATGAGGTGAGGAAGGGCTCAACTTCCCCCCCGAGCTCCTCTTGCACATATCAGCAGAAAATCACCAGCTCGTGAACTTTACTCAGCGCAGCGAGGAGACTCTGGTGAGTACCTTTTACTATTACTTTGGCCTTTGCCAGCTGTGCCCAGCTCGGAGACCCCCAGGCCAGATGTGACCTCTTTCCATCTCCTCTCCAACCTCCTGGCCTTCCTGACCTCTTGCATCTCCTGGGGAGCCTCAGCCATCTCCATCCATGTGGGCTCCTGCTTGGTGGCTTTGGTTAGTGCTGCATGATGTTGTTGAGTGACCTGTGCTGGGCAGAGTGACCTGTATGGTGCTGCAGCTGATGCAATTTGGGCTGAAAATGCCTGCACCACCTTGCAACATCGGGCATTGGTGGCACTGTGAGCACCCACTACCCTGCTCATGCCAACCCTGTTATCCCCCAGGTGCTGCGAGAGGCAAGATGTGGCTGCTATTGGTAGCCCTGGGCCTGACCCAGGGACTGGATGATGCCATCCCATGCATGGGAGCCAGCAACAACAACCCCGAGCAGTTCATGAACATCGTAAGTGCTGGAGGGGGAGGTCCAGGTTTCCCTAAGGAGTGCACCCAAAGTCCTCCCTGAGGGACCAGCTGGGCTCTGCCCATTCTTACACTGGTGTCTGCGCCCATGGGGAGCTGGGAGGGATCTGGAAACACTCCCCCCAGGATGCGCTGGCTGTTGGCCACCTGGTCACCTGAGTGCTCCTTTGTCATTTGTGTCACCCCACCTCAAGGGGGACAGTTTGGGCTCTGTGACATCTCCAGGGCTCCAGCCACCCTCCTTGCCTTTCAGAGCAGCTCTTCCACAATAAGAACCTTTTCATGTCTCCTGGAGATGGTCAGATCACATGTCCCATATCTTGTGATCCCACAGGTGGAAAGGGCTTTTGAGAGGGCAGGGAAAGACCATCTTCTTTGTACGCAGCATCTCCGTTCATTGCTTGCTCCTCAGTGTGCTGCCGGGCCCTGGTGGCAGCAGCAGGCTCTGGCTATCTCACCCCAACATTCCCTTGCCGCCTCACGTTTTAGTGGTGATGTACAAACAACAGCATGCCACGCTGGGGAACTTCCTAACCAGCTAAGACCTAATAATATATTGAATTTTTGAGGATTGCCTTATTAGGAACAGCCAAGAAATGCAACGGAGCCAGCTGAGCTCTGCTGTCTCCTGGGGTAAATTGTAACTCTGACGTAGATCACGCTGCGGACAAGTTCTGCCAGGAGTCAGGTCAAACCCACCCACCTTCATCCCCACTGATTTCTCTCCTTGCAGAGCCAGATGATCCGTTTCCATGGGTATCGCAGTGAGGAGCACCAAGTCCTGACAGATGATGGGTATTTCCTTACAGTGAACCAGATTCCTGGTGGCAGAGAGGAGGCTGAAAGCAGAGGTGGGCACTCATGTCCCCAAGGCTTGGCTCGCAGGTCCCCTTCTCCTGAGCAGAGAAGGCAGAACGAGGATCTTGGCAAAACGGGGCTCATTCAGGCAAAATGAGGATTGTCTGCTCAGAAAGAGGGATGTGACTGGAGTCTGCACTGTGAGAAGAGGGAACAGTAACAGACGTGAGTCCTTTTGGTAAACAGACATGCTTTTCTCTGGACACTGATGGGGAGGAAACAGCCTTGAGCTGGCTGTGGAGACTCAGGAGCTCCACACTGTGTTTTGCCGTGTTCAGGATGCGGCAGCATGACTCAGCGAGCCCCAGTGCCTGGAGAAGGAGGGCCATGGGAGTTCCTTCCCCACAGCAAACTCCTTCCCTGGGTCAAGGCTTCCTGACAGCTGAGGGCCAAGGGTGGAAATATATTTCAAACTGGAGGAGAAAAAGCACCAGGAGAAAGAAGAAACTGTAAGGGAAGCTGCTTTCTCCGCTGCAGAAGACTTTCCATTTGTGATATGAAAACATCAGACTCCCATGGGCTGGAGGTGAAGGCAGCTCCTTTCTCATTCCCAGATACTCCTAACAAACAATAGGTTTTTTTCCTGTCATTTCCAGGACTCAGGGTACCTGTGTTGCTCCAGCATGGCTTGGATTTAGATGGTAGCAATTGGGTTTCCAATTTCCCCAACAGCAGCCAGGGCTTCATCCTTGCAGATGCAGGGTACGATGTCTGGATAGGAGACAGCCGGGGCAACTCCTGGTCCTGCCGGCACCTGAACCTTTCTGTTGACCAAGAGGAGTTTTGGGATTTCAGGTGAGAAGGCCACCAAGGACGGGTCTGGGATGCTGGGCTGTCAGCACTGACTGCCTGATGTCCATGGGAGTCTGGGAGATGAGCGTCTCCTCCAGCTTCTCCCCTTGCTTCCCAGCTTCCATGAAATGGCCATGTATGACCTCCCCGCCATGGTGGGCTTCATCCTAAGGCAAACCGGGCAGGAGAAACTGTTCTATGTCGGCCACACTCAGGGCAGCATTCTGGGTGAGTGAGGAGTGCTGGGGTGAGGAGTGAGGTGCTGGGATGCCATGGAAGAGGCACATCAATATCTATCCCCAACAGTCCTTCTGCATGGGAGAAGACTTCTGTGTCTTGTCCATCCATCCTGGGCTGTGCTGATGTCCAGGAGCACTGCAGCTTTGTTTTGTAGAGACCCTGCACCTCAAACAGGGATTCGGAATGCAAGGAGGGAATTCATGTGTTTGCGTCCACGTGGCAGTTGCCTGAAGGACCTCTGTAGTCTTCTGTGGGTTTTTTGCAGGTTTCATAGCCGCAACTGGCTGAGAAAATCAAAACGTTCTTTGTGGTGGGTCCTGCCTACACTTTACGTACGGGTAAAGGTCCAGTATTAAGTCTTTTCTATCTTCCCGATACAATAATTAAGGTAAGTGTTGTGTTCTGGTTTTCTCCTCCTAATTAGTTACGTAGTTCATAATTGCTAGCCACAGATATGAAGCGGAGTTGCTTGTGCCACTGCGGCGAACTCCTCCCTGAGCTCCCACACCACCACTGTGTTGGTGCCACTGGCATCCATGGGGAGGGAGAATGGGAAGGTATCCAGTGAGGGGGAGTGCCAGGCAGGGACCAACCCACTGTGTTCATGCCCTGTGGCAGGTAATTTTTGGGAGGAAAGAAGCAGCTCTGCTGAGACGGCAGCAGAGAGCAGGTCTGTCCAGGGCATGCAGCTGCAGGCTGCTCAACAGGCTCTGTGCAGATGGGCTTTTCCTCATCGGTGGATTTAACAAGAAGAATTTGAACGCGGTAGGCACGTTTTCCCTCGTTTTGGCTGACAATTTAAGAAATGTCATAATGTCATCATAGATGCCAGATTGCATTAGGGGCTGGATTACTTAGCAGTGATACTGTCATGGGACAGAGGCACCAAGGATGAAAATGTTGGGTCAAGATAGATAAAATTGTGGGATTTTTGGGCCCCCCTCATTTCTATTGGTAGCTCAAACAAATGATGAGAAGGAAATCCAACCTGAAAGCTTGAACAAACTAATTATGAGGAGTTGTCTTGCTTTTGGGTCGTAACATCAAAAATGAAAGACTCATTCTGAAATGCTGTTGACTCCAGTGTGTTGTTTTAGCTTTGTACAACCTGCCTGGATGTACAATGCAGGTCTGTATAGGCATGAAAACATGCTGGGTTGTTCACTTGCATTGTCTTGAAGTGGACATTAGCAGAAGGCCAGGCTAGATACCAACACCAAAGCTCTGATATGGCAGAGTCCTTGTATTGTCATTAACATCAGCTTGACCTAAAGATGAAAGTGAGATTTCTGCTGCCAACCACACTGAGGTGCCCTAAGGTATTGGTGTCTGTGACTGAGAAGTCAGGAGTCCAGGTGACACTCAAGGCACAGAGACCATGTTGAAGCTGTGCCTCAGTGGTTTCCCCAGGGTGGTTGAATGCATCCTGCTTTGGGGCAATCTAGGCTAAGCAAATGAAGAGTAGAGTGACGACAGCCGAGTGCTGTTGACTTTAGCCTCAAATGAGTGTTAAGTCTTGCCTGAGGATCATTTGCAGTAGGACTTTCTTTTGCTGGCAGAGCAGAACAGACGTGTACATATCGCATTTCCCGGATTTCACATCCACCAAAAATTTCCTCCACTGGGGCCAGGTAGGGATTCTCCTGTTCATTGCACCTGATAACCGAGTGGTCAATCCTGGGTTGGCTGGGTTGTTGGTCTGGCACATTGCTCCATTCACTCTGTGGATATGCATAGTGACAGGATTGGTGAAGTGTTTTCTCTTCCTGTGTTTCCTTGGAGGCCATACGTGCCCCTGTCATCAGCCTCATCTTCCACCCTGTGCATGGGCTCACTCAACTGGTTGGCACCTCTGACTGTTGTAAGCAACCTACCCTTGAAAGGGTCTCCCTGAGCACCAAAACTCAGGGAGTTTTGTCAAGTCTTGCCAAGCCAACTTCAAGCTTTGTAAACACTTAAGATTTCATCCCCCGTAGTGGTCTAAGAAAGTGGTCGTGGAAAAGGCTGAGATCACTGCTGCAAGAGCACGTGGCAGTCTATTGCCATCACAAAGTCAACCAAGAGTGGTGGAAAAAGCCAGTATTTTCAGCTGAATTTGTCCAACATCCATCTGCTTCTTCCTCCAAGATAATGACATTTCAGCATAAACAGCTGGGGAAAGAGCAAGCTGGCAAGACTCTCATTTGAAAGTACAGGTGACTATATAAGCAGGGAAACCAGGAGGACAGTCCTAGACTGACAGAAGTTATAGCAGGTCTACATGGATAAATCCTCATTGGATTGTCCCTTCCTTCAGAGAGTAAGATCATTCATTTAATTGTAAATCAAGCATAATCTGAATGGTTGTGGTGGGTATCTTGAGACTAGGAGAGTGGATGAACCTTGCATTTCTTGCTGGTTATGAAGATTTCAATCATGGTTCATCACCTCCTGGGCTGGCAGACACGGTCACGCTGCCCCAGGGATGGCTGATGAGCTGCACAGTGCTGGTACCTTTCAGAACACTTAACGGGCTAATTTCCCAAACAATGCCCAAGAGAAACTCCCCACCTAACCAGGTGACTTGCACTCTGCCAGTCCATCCTAAGCAGCTGAGGTTGTCCACAGAGTACTGCAGGACAGTGGAGGAGTCCTTCTCCCTTCTGCCGTGATAGAAACAAGATATGCTCAAAGACAGCCACACTGACCACACACTGAGCATCCTTCATCTGCTTTTCCCAAACCCCTAACTGGGCCAGCTGCCCCACTGCTTTTCTGCCCTGCTGTAGGTCCCGAGGGGTGAGGAGCTGCAAACACTAGCCCAGACATCAGGGCTGTGCTGAGGCAGGGACCCTGCGGCTGCTTTTTCACTCATGGTGGGGCTGATCCAGGGCATTACCCACACGGGGTTAACCCTTTGCCTCTGCCTTTCAGACTGCCAAAACTGGGGAGTTCAAGCAGTTTGACTATGGGGAGAAGAACCAGGAGAAGTACAACCAGGTAGGCAGGGGGTGCCTCTTGCTTGCAAGGATGAAGAGATGACTTGATTGTGCTGAGAGAAGAGGATGAGGTTGGCTGCAACCAGGACGAAGGGACCCTGTGCATCATGCACATAGGTGTCTTCAAATTCCTTCGGTGGCTGGGGCCCCTGTGAACATTCAACCATTCAGTCCCATTTTAGCTGGCTGGTGCCTAGCCAGCCTTTTGGGCTTTTGTCCGCTCCTGGTGGGACAAGTCCAACTGCAACCTTGCAGGACACATTTGTCCCATATCACATTTGTTCACGTGTCCTGAACATATGTCCCAGAAAGTGAATACCCTGGGACTTTCAGCAGGTCTGGCAGCTAAAATTCAGCTGATTCCTTCCTATTTCACCTGCCTTTGAATAACCTGATTATTTTTCTTCCAAGACTTCGCCGCCCTTTTATAGGATAGAAGACATGATGGTGCCAACTGCTTTGTGGAGTGGTGGGCAGGACTGGTTTACCTCTACTTCAGAGACCCAGCGCCTGCTCGCCCGCATCACCAACCTCATTCATCATGAGCACTTCCCTGACTGGAACCACTGGGATCACATCTGGGGCCTGGATGCCCCTCAGCGCATGTACAGGCAGATGGTCGCTCTGATGGAGCAAAATCCATGAATGGTCCCTGTGCTACCCTGGGATGGAGGAGCCACCTGTTCCCACACTCCGGGAATAATACTGGCTTTTTGTATCTGGACTGTCACCCTGCTCTCTCCTCTCTAGAACCATCTCCTATCACCCTATTTCACACTGATTTAATGAGCTAACACAGTCTTGTGATTTCTCTCTACCTTCCACAGAGAGCCCTGGTATCTGAGTTTCCCTGCTTTTTCTGGTGCACAGTGCTATTTCTTTCCCTTGTTTTTCAGAACTATTAAAGTAATAAAGACCCATGCTGAAGCCCAGTCTATCTCTTCTCTTGGTGGGCATCACTGAGGTTGTGCTGCAGGGCAGCCATGCAGGAACTAGGAGGTCCCAGCTCCAGGCCTAACAAGCACCTTCCTGTGCACCCACCTCACATTACAAGGGGCAGGCAGGTCTTTACCAACCTGCATCGTGTCAGCACATGCGGCTTTGCTCTTCCTTCCCTGGTGACAACCCCATCCTCGCAGGTCATGGTCATGCATGATGATGCTCTGCAGAGCATCCTGTCTATGGCAAATCACTCCTTGACTGGTTGTGGCCACATGCAGTTTGGTTTCCCTCATAGTGAATCCATCCATCACTGTTGGCAAGGGAGGAAGGAGAGGGAAGAAAGAGGAAGCAGAGTATGGTGCTTGTAAAACAAAGCTTTACTTTCATAGGAGCAGCCCATGAAAGCAGCATCCCATAAGATATGTGGGCAGCTCAGCTCACAGATCCTGCACGCTTAAAGTTTCATCCTTTACCTTTGCTTTTCAGCCTTGCTAATCAGATGAAGTCCAGTCAGGCCACTGCACATTAACTATTCCCTTCTCCCAGGATTTTCCTGGCTTTGCTGTGCTCTTTTGTTGCTGTTGTTTGACTGTTGCCACCCCTGCCCCTGAGCTATGAAGACACCTTGGACCAGGGCAAGGGGATTGCTCCAGGAAAGGAGCCACTGAGGCTCGCTGGGTTGCGCTGCCCCATCCCGAATGCAGAGAAACACAATGCTGAGCTCCTGCATCCCCACGGACAGCTCAGGGCAGCTGGACAAAACTTCTTATCCTTCTTCCATCTGTCAAAACCTGTAAATAAACAGTACTGCTAAATCTGATCTTCCTTACTGGCACTTGTCCTGTCCAGCTGCTGAACACCGGTGGCCACAACTGGAAGCTGGATCCACTGGTAAAAATCACCATTTTAAGGTGCTTCTTGTCTGTAGCCCATCCAAACTACATGTGGAAGGGAGGTAGGAAGGACAGCAGGAAGGAGGGAATTACAGTGGCCACCTTCTCACCAGGCTCAATTGCACACGGACGCAGCCAAGACGTTGCAGGCTGTGCCTGGGGACATCATAGACAGACCAGATTATGGAAATATCTACATCAGCAGGTAGTGTGGATTACAAGGGACTGAGAAGCCAAGCCTGTACAGGAATTAGGAGATGTCAGGGGGGGCCTCCCCACACCAGACACAATAATATCCTTCCCAGAGCTGTTTTCCTGTTGCAAAACCCACCCTGAGTTCTCATACCAATTGCATTTTCTTGATGAGCGTGTCACTTAGGACACAGCTTCTTTCCCTTGGGCTTTTGAGACTTGGCTAGACAAAACCAGGGTTAGCCTGAGCTGGTCCTGCTCCGAGTAGAAAGTTGGACCAAAGGACTGCAGAAGTCCCCTGCAAAAAGCTGTGGGTGGACTGGACTCAGCCAGAGTGGCCTTTCCCCATCACCTGGGCAGAAAGGGGTCTCCACCCCTGCTGAGCTTTGCCCCCATGGTCCACCTCCCCTACATCAGCAGCCAGCCCTGCACATCATATGAAAAGGACCTTCCACTGCCCCATGGTCAACAAACAGCCCACAGGCCTGTGGTTTCTGTGGCTTATGCCTGGCTCACAGCCCTGCATGTTTTGTGACGAGGATTTCCTCTGCCCAACATCCCCTCGCCCAGCTCCTGACCAGTGGCACTAAGATCTCCCGTATATGTTGGAGGTCGTCACCATAACGGTCCAACCACAGCCCCCGTCAAGGGGCAGCAGCAGGCTGCTGAGGGTCTGGAATAACAGCATGACTTATCAATGAGTTGTGATGAATGGAAGGAAAACACACCTCTCACCCAGCTGAAGCAGGACAGACATGGCCGGTGGCATGACAGTTCATAACACAGATGGTGAGAGGGCTGGACCTGGCCAGACTGCACTTTCCCATCCTCCCAGCAGAGAGGGCTCCATACCTGGGTGGCCACGACCAGGCTGTAGAACCACCTCATGAGGTGGCACCTCATGCTCAAGAAGAGGTGGATGATGGTTTTGGGGTTTTTTTAGACATACCAAAATGCCATACTTTCCATGAACATTTGGGCAGGAGAAAATGTACCTCGCCAGTGCTTTCACAGCACCCTCTGCTGCCCAGGAGTTCCCTTCTCCTTCAGAGAGCACTGTCCCATGGACAACCATCAGCCCAAGAAATCAGTGCTGACGAGACCAAAGAGCAGCTAGCTGAGGAGCAGGTATCACGGAGAAATTTAACAAAGAGTACATGAGATTAAAGCAGCTTCGGGCAGGCGGTCTCCTCAGAGGCAGAGCCATGGCACCGAGGGAATGGGGAAGCGCAGAAAGGGAAGGGCTGAGTCACCAGGGTGCAGTGACCATGGCCCCCTGAGGCTGTGCAGCCATCCCAGGGGCTTCTCAGAAGTGCTGATATCTTCACAGGAAGCCTCTCCAGGAGCAGGAGGCTTTGCAAATGTTGCTGTTGAATTTATGTAAGCAGAATAAAATATTTCAGGTGGAAGGGGCCTACAATCACCATTTGGTGCAACTGCCTGACCAATTCAGGGCTGACCAAGTTAAAGCACGGTATTAAGGGCATTGTCCAAATGCCTTTTAAATACTGGCAGGCTTGGGACATTGACTACCTCTCTGGGAAGGCTGTTCCAGTGTTTGACCACCCTCTTGGTTAAGAAATGCTTCCTCATGTCAAGTCTGAACCGCCCCTGATGCAACATTGAACCATTCCCAAGCGTCCAATCCCTGGATCCCAGGGAGAATGGATCAGCACCTTCCTCGTCACGTTCCCTCCTCAGGAGCCAGCCCATGCACTGCCAGCCCTGTGCACCAGTGCCAGCCCTGTGCACCAACTCCAGTCCCATACGCCAGCACCAGTCCCAGTGCAGGTGAAGACTGGTCCAGAGGTTGCATGTCCTCCAGTCCACAGAGGTCATGGGTGACTTTAGATGATGCTATGCGGCATCAAGTGGAAACAACCAATTTGTCACAGCTCTCAACTACTTTGCAGTGCCTTGAAAATATTCCCAAACAGGCCCGGGTAGGAAGGGTGTCTCCTTTCAGTGCAGACTCCAGCCTTCAGGTAAATTATATGTTGGCAGGAGAAGGGATTAGAGGGAGTGGCAACCCATGACGCTCCCAAATACGTGGAACAGAGGGAACAGTAGCCTGATGCCTGGTGGGTGAGAGCAGCGTGCTTGGGCAGCAGGGACCTCCTGCTCAGTGGACGTCAGGAAGAGAGGTACCCACATCTCTTCTGCTGCAGTCCCTGGACCTCCTCGGGTGCAGGCTGCTGGCAAGGGGCCATCCCTAGGGACAGCAGGAGGGAGATGTGAGTAGGTGAAAGGCCCTGCAGATGAGACGGCGGAGCTTCCCTGGGGGTTCTGGGTGGGAAGGCAAGTCAGTTCTGCTGATGGGAGGGCGGTGGGAGCGCTGGGGGTCAGGACCATGCTGCTGGTGAGAGAGGCTTCACCCTGCTGCACCTCTCGGATGTCACCAGGAGTTCTCAAGGTCTGCTGAGCCGAGGGATCCCTCTCAAAGGGAGTATTCTCGCAGGTAGGCTGCTGGGAGAAAAGGGCCATCCCAGGCTAGGCTCTTCCCTTGCATTTGCATGCTGTTCTAGTGACGTTACGCCACAAAAATGCTTTCCGTCTCTCCTTGTTTTGCTTAAAGGCTCAGTCTTAACAGCAAGAAGGCCAGAGCTGCCTGGGGCCAGGCAGCTGCGGGAGAGCTGTGCTGAGTGCGGGTGGCTACTGTCCTTGCTGTGCCTCCCACCCATGTGTTCCGGGGACACATGTGCTCCTCAGGAGCATCCCAGGAATGATCCCTCAGCCTGGGAAGAAGAGTCCCACTGCATGGCAGGGATGTTGGCAGTGATAGACAGTGACAGTGAGGGAGTCCCAACACTGAATTACAGCCCAGGGGATTCAGACTCAGAGGTGGCAAACCCAGAGTAGGGAGCAGCCATGGAAAGTAGGGTGTTACTGCCTGGGGTGGGGTGGGGGGGTCAGCACTCTGCAGTGCCAAGCCACTGCCACTCTGATCTCATGCTGTGGATACCCTGCTTTGAGTGGGAGATCCCCTCCAGCAGTGCCTGTGTGATCCTCCCCGTGCCTGCACCAGAGGCAGCAGAAGGAGCAGGTGGCCTTCTTCCCCAGATGCTAAACCACCTCCAGCAGCATGGGAAGCCAGTACCTCCTGCAGAAGAAAGAGGGGACCATGAGAGTTAGCTGAGAAGCAACAGAAACTTGCTCAGAGTTCTTTCTTCCCCCAGAAAGATATCTGACAGGGGAGCAGCAGGGATAGATGCAAGATAACTGGGCTGGCATCCAGCCATGGTCGCTGCTTCCCAGTGCAGGCACAAGCATTCAGCGAGGATTTGGCAGGGCTTCACACATTTTAACTATTTAATCATGTCACACAAAAGCTGAGGAAGCATTTCTGTTGCAAATCTGTTGCCTCCAACAAATAAAATGATAGTAAGATGGTTTGTGGTAGGAACATGTCAAAACAGATACTTCAAAATCCTCCCCAGAAAGAACAGCACGTCTCCTGAGATAGTATTTCACTCAGGCTTGCAAAACCAACTCAAGTATGTCCCAGGGTCTCTTTCAGCCATAAGGAGAGCTCAAGCAAATACCATTATTTGATTTTGTGTGAAGGACAAAATCGCCATGGTCCTGAAACTTGAAATGGGGTGGTTTGCTCCTGATTAG